TTATTTTTATTAATAATTAATATTAATTAATCTTTATTTATTATTACCAACAATAAATAATCATTAATATCAATGAGGGTTATAATCGAAAAAAGTCACAATAAGCTTCAAAAATGTTACTCCAAGTAACGTTTCATTAAGCTAGCTTACGGTTATCCAAATAGTTGTCATCACCACCGTTGCTGCCATCAATGTCGTCGCCGCAACCATCGTTGCTACCACTACCATTGTTGCCTTCACTCTCATCGCCCACCACTATTATCACCATTGCTGTGGTACCGTCGACATTACTAATGCTTCCAGTCACCACCACTATTATATTCAACGAACCAAACATACATATTCAAATTGTTTTTACAAATTTCATTCTATTTCTTATCAACCAAACGGATGATCATACATAACAAAATTCAATCACAATTCCTTCAGTTACTATTTCCATTAGATTCCATTATATGAACTAAACGTCATCTAAAAATATAAAGATTCCAAATACGAATAATTCATCTGAATCAAAAATAATTCTACGCATTCGACTTTCATGTTAAACAATTCAGTGTCTTTCAAATTATTTTCTACTACTTCAAACGTAACTAAAGACAAAAAATCAATTTATCCAAAATCTCATAAACATTCTAAATACAGAATTCTTCTCATATCATCCCAATATATTCATACTTTATAATTTTATTCTAGATTAATTGTTGTATTAGTCAAGAATATTAATGGAGGCCTAGGAAACCCCCACAAGGCCACGAGGCTAATTGATGCTGCGGTCTGGGCGCCGCGCGGTGCAATCTGGGTCTCCCGGCCCCACCGCTAGAAATCTCAGCCTCCAACGCCAAACACCACTGCTCACCACTCTTTTGATTCTTATCAAAACCTCCATCTCACGATTTCAATCCCATTATAATATGGCATCACTTGTTTAATTTCAAGAAAACCCATCTGGGTTCTCTTCCAAAACCATACATTTCAAAGACTAATATTCTAACATTTACTGAAATCACAAGTTCATAATGGGAACTGGTTCATCAAAGAACCCTGACAGTAGCTCTCATGGCAGTGGAGAAGATAAAGAAGATCATGGCGGTGGTCAACTCTATGTCTCTCTGAAGATGGAGAATTACAAACTCAAAGGAGATCTTGTTCCTCATGTTTACGGCTCTGTTCCTCTCGTTGGCTCTTGGGATGCCTCAAAAGCTGTAACCTTACTGTTCTTATGATTTTTTATAAAGTTATACTGTTTTTTGATAATTTTGCTGCCATTTAGCTCCAATGCACTCTATATGTTTGTGTTTAGTTCCCAGTGAAACCTATGATTGATTTCTTTGTATTTAGCTAGTGCTTTTCAATATCCATGTTCATAATTTTTGTTAACTTTCTTGTATTACGCCTTCCCCTTGCAATCTGTTTATATTATATTTCAATACCTATGTTTCTAATATTGACAATTTTTTTGTTCAGACTCCATTGAAACCTATTTTAGTCTTTTTCAGTACTCATCTTCCTAATCTTGATAATTTTCTTGAATTAGCTTTCAATGGAACGCGAGTCGACCTCAATGTGGGAATTGAGTTTTGTTGTCCCTCCTAATCATGGTAGTTTCTTTTTTCAGTTTTCTGCTTTTAGGTATATGTGAGAGTCCCAGTAGGGGCTTTCTGATAACCGAAACCTTTGAAATAGATATGGATCCTGTTTCTAGGAAGGAAAAATGAACTACCACATAATAAAACTTCATAACAAGTACTACATACAACAATCTTTGAGGTTAAATCCTCAACAAAATACTCATTAATTTTGAAGTTGAAAAGCATGGGGGTTTGACTTTAAAAGTCAAAGGCCAAAGTCAAAAAGGTCATGTTTGGCAACCATAAGCTAACTTCTTATATGAGCTTATTGAAAAAGCTTCGTTCGGCTAGCCATAAGCTAGCTTATTGAAATGATATGAAACGATCTCGAGGCTTCAAGTATCGTTTCAATAAGCTTTAGGGGATTTTTTCACCTTTTTTTTCTTCCATTTTCTAGGTCATTTTACATTGTCAGCTTGCATATAAGCTATTTTTACCAAACATGACTAGTTTAATTGCTAGCTTATTAGCCAACAACTAGCTTATCGACTAGTTTGCCAAACATAGCCAAAGTATATGAACTTTAGCAGGTGTTAATAATTTTTGCTGTTTTTTATTTAGAAACCTTGGACTTCAAGTTCTTATTGAAGCCCAAATACAACAATGTGCCATGCATAGTGGAGGAAGGCACAAACAGGCAGTTCATGGGAGGAACTTTGCAAGGGGATGCAAGATTGGCTGTTTTTAAGTTCAACTTAGACGAGGTTCTCGAGTATAGGGTATTCATTAAGGCCAACAAGGTTTCACCCTTTGATCTTGCTGCTAGTTGGAGAGCTTATCAAGAAAATCTTGCGCCCTCGACTGTTCGTGGGATTCCTGATGTTAGCATAAATTCATTGCCGGAGGATGTTGAGGTATTACTCTCTCAGATTTTCATTAATGGTAGATTCACAATGAATGCTCTTTTTAATTTCTCAAGGTTTATTCAGAATGGCTCTTCAACCAGTTTGGATCTTGATCTTGAACAATATCTAGTCCCAGCTCCACCAACTTCTGTGGTTTATGCTGCCAATTTGACCGAGACTCCAAGGTCTTTAAAGCGTGGAGGGGTGTTTTCCAATGCTGAATCTTCATCCAAAGATGTGGGCGTTTCCGTTGATCGTCCTGCAACCATAAAGGTCACTACTCTGGTCTAGATTAGAATGTCCAATTTTTTGCTGACTGTCTAATCACTGCACGGAAATCGGCTTTATAGGATGCTGGCCGCCAAATATGTCTAAATGTGCTAATAGATTGCTTTATAGGACAACATAATTGTACGTCCTATATAAATGTGTTACGATAAGTTTGTAGGAGGCCCTAACCAGTTTTTTAGGGCAATTTTAAAATAAAGCACCCTATTAGTCTTTTTATTTGACACTTATTTGTATAGGACGCAAAATTGTTTGATCCTATAAACTTAAGTCCTAAAAAATAGTCTATTAGTACATTCGGACAGCTTCGGCGTTCTATAAAACTGATTTTCTTGTAGTGAATCTAAGCTATTCGGCTTTCTAAAGAAGGCAAAATTTTACTTAAGTACTTCTAATACCTTCCGTGTATGTAATAATTAACATGAAGAAAATGAACCGAATTTTGTTTAGATGATTTATAGAACATCTTTGTTTGGATAACTCCAAGGAATATGCATAAATAGAGAAGGATATACAAACCATGGGGGCATACCTTGGAAAAAGATATTAAAACCATACAAAGATATATAACAACCAAAAGAGCATGCCCATTAAAAACTTTGAAGAGTGACAACCACAAAACATTTCCAACAACAACCTTAGAAACACACTAGACTGAAACGAAGGAAGGAAAACTATATTCATTCATAAGCTGTGCCTAATAAAGGATACTTGTAGATTTTGGCCGTTAGTTATCCATTAAGTTTGTAATCTTCTCTTGATCCAATGCATGATAATTTTCACTAAAAGCCCACCTGCCATTTGTCCATTATTATGGAATATCCCATTTCTTTTCTCTCTCTCTCTCTACTCACACACACAGAGGACTGGGTTCCAGTGAGAAGAACCCCTTTTCGTGAGAACTTAAGAAAAAGTGAAGGCATCCTTAAGTTGTTTGAAGGTTTGTCGTGAGAACTTTGAAGATTCATTTATATTGTGAGAACTGTGAAGATACATTTATATTATGCGAAGGTTACAACATTCACACAATATAATGTAACCTTCCAATGCACAGTTGAAGGTGAAGAGAAATTTACAATCTTCACATATAACTTCCACACAGTATAAAGGTATCTTCATTTGTTCTCACCTTCTCATGAATGTAAAAGTTTCTTCCATGATCTTGACTCTCTTTCTCTCTCTATATTTGTCATACATAAATAACATAATTTTACCACAAAAGTTTCTTAGTGGGACTTTGTGATGTTATCGCCTTGAATATTGTTAAAACTGTCCATAGTTATTGAAATTATTTTTATCACTTCAATATAACAAAACATTAGCATCTTTCATTTCAAATTATAAACTAGCTTTGCAATGGTGTGACAAACATATGGTTTTGGGGGGGGGGGGGGGGATAAACTAAAACACTGTTCAGTAGAACTGCCACTTAGGCTTGCATTTCTATGCGTTCTTTTTTATTAGAAGACATGCTTTATTTATTTTCTTATTTTTTGTAATTTCGCCTTTTCTCTTTAGAGCCGAATTTCACGCATCTACAAATAATTCATGTTTTTCTGACTTGTGAATAGGAAATGGAAGTTGTTATTCCGGATCCTCCTAAGCTCCTTCCTCTTCCTGGCATGGTCGAATCGAAGTCAGTGGGTACATTCTCATCATTACAGAAACAAGATAGTCACCGAGGAATTTTTGTGGATAGAGGTGTGGGATCTCCTCGGCTAGTCAAATCAGCCAGTGCAAATACTTTGACTACCGGCACTAAATCGAATTCGGGAGCTAAGGTTTGTACAATGCCATCAACTGTCTCTAGAATGTGTTTTTGCATTTCTGACTTTCTAACACGTGAACTATTAGAACTCGATGCCAGCGGCTGCCGGGGCGGTTGCGGCTGCGGCTGTTGCTGATCAAATGCTTGGACCAAAAGAAGATATGCATCTGGCTATTGTTTTGGTAATCTTGATTATTTTCTTTAAGTTCAAACTTGGCGTTATGATTTTGTAGTTTGTCTCTTACTCTTTCTGTCCCAAAATAAATGCCCATAAAGAAAAAGGCACACATTTTTTGAAATGGGTAATTATTACATTTTTAATTAACTGGATGACAATTTACCCTTAATAATAAAGGGAGTAATGAGTTTCTCATCTCATGATTATGGGTAGAACCGGAAAGTAGACACTTACTTCTGAAAGTGGACATTTATTCCTAGAGAAACTCAAAACAGAAATGTTGGCACTTTGGGACGGGAGGAATATAACCCAACGTCTTTTTTTTGAATCTTGATAGGAAATATCTCTAACATCTTGGTTTTCCATGGTAGGTTGGCTTGCCGGCTCGTGGCAAAACTTTTACCGCCGCTAAACTTACAAGGTATCTCCGTTGGTTAGGTCATGACACTAAACACTTCAATGTTGGCAAGGTGATTGGTTTTTTCTTGTTTCGTAATCATCCATCAAAGTGCATCGAATCAAAGAAAATGACCCGATTTTTTTTCTTGCTGTAACAGTATCGACGGCTCAAGCATGGAACTAATCAGGTGGGTTGATTTTCGTGGGACGTGATTTATATCTACATCTGGAATCCTCTTTGGCTTTTCGACATCAATAAGTGAAAATGGAACCGGAATTGCATGTTCTCGTTGTCAGGATCCACGATCACTCATAAACAATAGTAAATTGCGGAAAAGATAAATAGAAGACACATATTTACGTGGTTCAATAATGCTCAACTCAACTGGCAAATAAAGGCCAGGCCTTGGGGATCCTCTCCACAGGCCTTCGGGCCCCTCCCCATAGGTCGCCAGTTGGAGTCTCCTCAGGGATATTAGGGATTTTCCTGGCTGTTAATCTTTCGGTTCCCATAGTTCAGTTGCACACGAGCTTACCCAGACACCCACGGTTACCAAGAAAAGGGACAGACAGTGAGAGAAATTGAGGACAAGACAAGAAAATTGTCATCTTAATAAAATAGACTCGTTGTTTTACAAGAATGTTGAGTTAGGCCTAATGCTTTTGAACCTCCATCTTAGGTTAGGGGGTCATGCCCTTGCCATCTCACCGTGCAATTGGATCTACCAACGACTATTTAGTGATGGGGAAAACTTTTAAGGACATATTCACTAGATTTTTTGATGATTAAACAAATCATTCATTATTAATATCTACCCTTATGTCCCAATAGATTTTAATGGTTCAGATATTACCCGTTTTTGTAGTATGGTTGATTGATCGGATATCATCTGATGCAGAGTGCTGAATTTTTTCGGGGTGACAATCCAGAAGGCATGGAAGCCCGCAATGAGGTGAATATTTACTAAATGATTTCTGGAAGTCATTTGAATCTTCTTTTTGTTGTAAAATTGGTGTTTTACTTTTTTTGACTTGCTATCCTTCTAAAAATAATGAAGGTCAATGAGACCTTTTGTTAAGGTTTGACTCCATCCCATAATGATGGCAATAGGTAAATATACAATTTCAACTTGAAAGATGATTTAAAGATAATTCTTCTTATGCTGTACACATTGATTTTTTAGTTGAAACACTAGTTTGTGACTTAATATTATGTGGGTTTATTAACACATTAATCTTTTTAACAAACGTACTTGTAACAAAATTCATTTAAATTTCCACTGTATACACCCACTTCTTTCTTGATTATGTTACTAAAAGAGCTACAACGAACACTTGAGATTCATCCATTTGATGATTGAGCATTGTGGCACACTGTATTAACATGTTTCTTTGCAAATAGTTTTAATACATCACATGCCACACTAGGTAGCAGCTCTGGCTATGGATGACATGACGGCCTGGATGCAAGAAGGTGGTCAGGTAAGTCTGATATGTTGTTTGACACCTTCTGTCGTTCAAGATGCTAAAAATGATTCTTGATTTATGTAATTTGTCTTTCAAGATGCTAAAAACAATTCTAATTTTATGTAATTTGTCGTTCAAGATGCTAAAAATGATTCTCATTTTATGAAATTTGTTGTTCAAGATGCTAAAAACGATTCTGATTTTATGTAATTTGTCTATCAGATGCTAAAAACGATTATGATTTTATTTAGGTAGGAATATTTGATGCCACAAACAGCACTAGCAAGCGAAGGAATATGCTTATGAAACTGGCGGAAGGCAAGTGCAAGGTAAGATGCTGAACACTTAGAAGCTTGTTAACAATTCAGCAAACGATGATGGATGGTGCAAAAAATAAGATTAGTTTCATTTTCCATCATTTTTCCTTCTCTTTTCTTTTTTGTTCTTTGAATTGATGAAGAATGCTATATGTTGTTGGTATTGGTTTAAAAGGAGCCTCATCAATTTCTGATTTTGTATTCAATGAACATTACAGATCATATTTTTGGAAACAATTTGCAATGATCGGCAGATAATTGAAAGAAATATACGACTCAAGATTCAACAGAGTCCCGATTATGCTGAAGAGTATGCTGTCTTTATAAACCTATCATGTTTTTGTTTTAGAAACTTCTGCATACAGGACTAAGTGTAAATATTTTACAGGCCAGATTTTGAAGCCGGATATCAAGATTTCAAACGACGACTTGATAATTATGAGAAGGTAACTAAAATTTCCCCAATTATATTGATGACCTTTAGATTGTTTATTGTTGTGATTTAAAAGAATTACCTCTTGTTACAAGATCTATGAGCCGGTTAATGAAGGATCATATATTAAAATGATCGATATGGTTAGTGGCCATGGCGGACAAATACAAGTAAGTCGTCTCTTGTTTACTATATCTTCTTTTAGTTCCATTTTCCACACTATACATATTGTAACATCATTCTGCAAAAAAAGGGTATGTCTGACGCCACCCTTTGGAGTGCCCCCACTGTATCGATCCCACGGTCATCATGGGGAGATAAATCGTGTCCCATGGGCATGCAGGTGGTTCTTGGTGCCGAACCCAACCTTCCACTCATTTTGCAAGGATGCCCACCTCCTTACCCGCTAGGCTAAAGCCGTGGGGACAATATTGACTTACATATATCTATATATATATGTATTAAATCTCGCCATGCAAAAAACTGGCAGGAACAAGTTGGATAAGAGGGGTACCTAATTATTACTTGCCATCTCTAATTATCTTTGTTGATAAAAGGTTTATAGATCTTCATATAGATTTTTTATAAGAACTTTTCAAGATGGAATTTTATATGAAGTTGTTAGATAGAGAATAAAATAGTCGATTTTTAGCAGTTCTATTGTCGTTCAACGTTTCTTTTTCACACACACACACGATCAATTCAATAAATCGCCCGACTTAACTTTTCTTCAAACTTATGAATGATGTTCTACTTAGGTGAACAACATCAGCGGTTACCTTCCCGGACGGATTGTGTTTTTCTTGGTATGTGATCAAAGTTATGCCATCTTTATCCTCTTTATTATGGTTTAAAGAGTTCAGTAATGTCATCTTAAATTCTCAGCCGGGGGTCTTCATGGAAACAGTCGCTCTACTCTTTGGGGTAGAGGCCAAGAATGCTTACATCTTAACCCCCCCCACAAAGACCCTACCTCCGGGTGGGACATTTTGGGCTCGTTTGTTTGGTTTGGTTTTCATGTCTTCATGGAAACAGCCGCTTCTACTCTTTGGGGTAGAGGCCATGTCTATGTAAAAAAAAAAAAAAAACTCCACCTCCAGGTGGGACATACTGGGCTCGTTTGGTTTGGTTTGGTTTGGTTTGGTTCGGTTCAGTTATACATCTCCTCCCCTGGCCGACCCCACTTCAAGCCGTGGGTCTTCATAACATCTGATAACTTGACATGGTGTCTTACAGGTGAATACACATTTGACTCCAAGACCCATTTTGCTTACAAGGCATGGTGAGAGTCGTGATAATGTGAGAGCAAGAATAGGCGGAGACACTGCCTTGAGGTTTCTTTTTTCCGTTCATCTTAAACAAATAACATCACAACATAACATCACCTCATAATGTCGGTTATCACCAAAGGGTCATTGGCCCAGTGGTGCCCAATTTACCAATAGATCCTGGTTGCGTGAGTTTTGCCCTATATAAAGATTATATATACTTCAAATCATGTAGTTGGTTTTCTATTCAAAACAAACCATTGTTCTCGTGAAAATGCAAAAAAAGAAGAACGTTAGACTTTGCAAGGATGCATGACTTTGGACCCCGGATTCGAAGTATGATGGTTGCTTTTGAATTTACATTTCCGTACTTGTACAAAACCGTTCGTTCTTATAAAAAGACGTGTCCTTTCTCATTTTCGCTAGAGTTTGTTTGTTTGTAACAAAAAACAAGTACGATAAAGTCTATCTTTTTGTCTGCATGCATTCGAGCACATCACGAACTGTAGTTCTTGACCTACTTTTATGTAATCTTTTTTGTTAAACAGCGGAAACGGCGAGCTTTATTCAAAAAAGCTTACTAATTTTGTCGAGAAGCGACTAAAAAATGAACGGGCTGCTTCCGTAAGACTTCTACTCCTACATTTTACCTTTTGATTCAGTCATTCTCTATGCACATAATTCTTGATAGCGTCGTGTTTGTGGTGTGGCCTAGATATGGACAAGCACATTGCAGCGAACAATTTTGACAGCAAATCAAATTGCTGGATTCCCAAAGGTTAGCGTTTCATATCACATTTGGTTCTTGTTGCATATAAGATTCGTCGATATTTGTATAACTTGCTTCTTTAATTACTTGCTATTTGTTGTAGAGTAGGAAGGGTAAAAGAGTAATTTCAGTTTAGTAACTACTCCCTTAGTCCCAAAATAAGTGTTACCTTTCTATTTTAGTTTGTCCAAAAATAAGTGCACTTTCAAAAGTAATTTGTCTGGTTTTCAATTCTACCCATAATTATGAGACAGAGAAATTCATAATTATTAGTCAAGGGAAAAGTACGGAAAAACCATAATTATTAGACAAGGGAAAAGTACGGAAAAATTCAATTCTACCCATAATTATTAGTCAAGGGAAAAGTACGGAAAAACCAACGAACTTTCCCATTTTGAATGATGAAATCCTTGAACTATTTTTTAGATTTACAAAACCATTAAACATTCTTATTTTGAATGATTAAGTCCCTTAACCTTTTCTTGGATAAATAATCGATCGAATTTTTAAAAATTGGTTAACTACGTTCTTTTAACCCAAAAAAGTTACCTGTAACCGACTAGGAATATTTAAAAATAAAAAAAAACATTAAATAAGTTCTATCGTACCCAAACCTACGCCATTCAAACCCTCCGCACACCATGACATCGCTCCGCCTTGTCACTCCTCGTCGCCCCATCGTAGTTTGTTTTTTCTATACGACTCATCACCGCCTTTGGCCCCTGCCATCGATCTCCCTCTTTTTGATATATTTTTTCGATTCTCACTCTTTTACAACAATTTAATGGAGTACGTATAGATATATAATAAAAGATTGGAGAATTGAAAAAACAATCAAATTAAGGAAGAACGATGGCAGGGGCAATGGCGATAATGGGCATTGAGGTGATAGAGAGTGGACGATGACGATGGATTTGAATGACGTAGGATTTGGGAACGGTAAAACTGATTTAGTTTTTTGTTTACTTTAAAACCTTCATAGCAGCTCCCAGGTAGCTTTTTTGGGTTAAAATGACATAGATAACCAATTCTTAAAAGTTCGATGATTTATTTATTCAAAAAAAGTTTATAACTTATTCATTCAACATTAGAAAGTTTAATGGTTTTTCATTCAAAAAATAGTTGAAGGACTTGATCATTCAAAATGGAAAAGTTGGTTTTTTTGGACTTTTCCCTAGTTAATTAAAAGCATAATAATTACACGTCTAAAACTGTTTGTTTTTTTTTTTCACTGTGGACATTTATTTTGGGACTAATTCGTAGTTTGTTAGAGTGGTTAATGTATCTACAACTTCACATAGTAGTTTTACCCCGGCTTCTCTTTGTATCGAGCTCCTTCACCAGCCATTTCCTTACTCGTTGGAGCGTAGGATTATAATAATTTTATGAAATTTGTTAACCTTTTATTTCTTGTAGGTACAATGGCGTGCACTCGATGAGATAAATGCCGGTGTATGTGACGGTATGACATACGAAGAAATAAAGAAGAATATGCCCGAAGAATACGAGTATGTTTGATATGAAAACATCGAGTTCTTTGACTAAATATGAGTCATCTCTATACCTTTTTGTTCAAGGATCTTTGTTTGATTTCATGAAGGTCACGGAAGAAAGATAAACTCAGGTTTCGGTATCCTCGTGGAGAATCTTATCTCGATGTGATACAAAGGTTCGTCTTTAATTTTTAAATAATCTTCTCGTTGTATCGATTATAAATACAAAAATAATCGATATTAAAACCGTTGGGTTAATACAAGTTTGACATTCAAAGTCAATAACTAATATAAAACCGATGGGGTAATATTCTGTATACTCCCTCTGTGCAAGTGTCTGCATTTCTATTTTAGTTTGTTCCAAAATAAGTGTCCACTTTCAAAAGTAAGTGCCTACTTTTCAATTCTACCCTTAATTGTGAGACGAAGAAATTCATTACTCCCTGTATTAATATTATTAAGGGTAAAATTGTCATTTAGTTAGTTAAAAAATGTAATAGTTACATATTTCTAATTCAGTGTTCTTTTAGTTTGGGACCCTACATCCCAATTCTACCGTAACTATGAGATAAATAAATTTATTATCCCATCTATTATTAAGGATAAATCTATCAATGTGTAGTAGTTACACATTTCTAAAAACTGTAAACTTCTTTTATTGTAGACATTTATTTTTGGACAGAGGGAATATATAACAAGACTTCTAAAACCTCAAATTATTACAGGTTGGAGCCGGTTATCATTGAGCTCGAACGGCAACGTGCACCAGTCGTGGTTGTATCCCACCAGGTCATCCTCCTCAATTACGATCGATAATTTCACACCATAATAGTTGCTTACGGTTAATACCTATTGTCATTGCACCGCAAAGTTATAGTTTGTTACTTCAGTCTAGAAACCGAATTAGGCTCCGTATCCGACAATCTTTTCGAACCCTCACCTTTTGATATTCCCTCTTATTTTTTTGGGGAAACTTTCTATCTATTTCACACACTTCTCACGAGCCGGTCTCCACGGAAACAACCGCTCTACTCTTTGAGGGTAAGTGTCAGGTCTGCATAGTGCGTGCATCTCACCTCCTCAGACCCCACCTTCAGGTGGGATATACCGTGCTCGTTTGGTTTGGTATATTTGACAATCTCTCCCTCCATTTCCCCCTTTGAATCTTTTTTATTCCTGAACAAACAATAACACTGGCTTGAATTGGCTTTTGTATTGCAGGCCGTTTTGAGAGCGTTGTATGCGTATTTTGCTGATCGGCCATTGAAAGAGATTCCGCACATAGAGGTAAAACAACATATCGTGTAGCAAACGTTTCAGTCTTTGTCATAAGCTGCACGAACATGAATAACGAACCAAAGGGTCATTGACCTAACAATATCCGGTTTACCTGTAAATCCTAGCCTCTTTGGAGGGCGAGGGTTCAAACCTCGTCATTAGCCAGACAGATACGATATCTAGGTTACTGGTAAATCCTAGCCTCTCTGGAGGTCAAGGGTTCAAACCTCGTCATTAGCCGGGATATAGTATCTGGGTTACCGGTAAACCTAGTCTCTCTTGAGGTCAAGGGTTCAAACCTCAAATTGAACCCTTTGACCAGGTGAGGAGTGTGCGTAAGTATATACATGTCATATATAAATACATACTTAAGACCATGAATAACGAGTTGGATGGTGGGAGTTTCAGATGCCGCTTCATACGATCATCGAGATACAAATGGGCGTGACGGGGGTACAGGAGAAAAGATACAAACTCATGGATTGATGGCCGAATGGAGATGCCGGAATGGATTCTTGATTCCGGTTTTAAGTTGAAAAGAATTCAAGAAACATATTATGTTGAAAAAATATATTCAAGAACGATTTGTTTATGGGAGAATTTCCTGATTAATTATATGTCTTTAATTCAAAATTTCAAAATTATACGCAAAACAATTGAATTTCACTTCTTATAAAAACAAAAAGCATTTTATCTAAAGTTGTTGTAATAAGTTTGTTGTGCGTTTTTTCGATAAGTTATTCAAAGACATTTTTATATATAAAGAAATGTTGTGTTAGCTATTTTATAGGGCTTATAAAAAACAAACAAGACACTATTTGAGAATATGGATTATTTCATTAACTATTTTCTATGACACTATTTGCTTATGTGGATTATAAATAGTGTAAGTTTATCCAGACTAAAAGTTATAGCTGCGCTTTTCTATTGTTTTATTTACAAATTTACGAATTAGGTTATGTGTCCCTTATAAATTATCATCCCATTGTAGATAGAATAAATACAAGATATATGAGTTTATCATGTTATGGCGAAAATAATCTTGTACTGCAAAGATGATTGTTGTCGATAATAGAATTAATAACATCTAAATGGTATGGACGTGGGCTGGGTCAGGATCATTGGAACGGAGTCAGGGTCATTGAACTGGTTAGAATCATCTCCAATATATTCGTTAAAATGGTTTTTGATGCATTAAAAATAACCTAGATGGAAACACAACGCCATATTTGAAAAATAAGGACAACCATATTTTAAGTAAAAGATAAAATGTAATTTTGATACATATTCTATTTAATTAGTTGAATTATTAATTAATAAATATCTTCCAATTATATAAAATTTAGTACGATTAGAGCTAATGAATGTTAAACTATAAAATTTGGTTCTTGTGGTTTGTTGTAAATAACATTTTTCATCTTTACAGTTTTTGAAATTATAAGATAACCATTGTGGTTTGTAAAAACTTCCAGATTTGGTCCACCATTTTAACGGTTATTAAAAATTTCTTTAAATGAGAGGATTTTCGTTCTTTTATCGGTGTTTTTGTCTTTTACCCAATCAAAAACACAATGACCAAAATCATAAAATCTACTTTGATTCGGTAAAACAAAGGAAGCGACAAAAATGTCATTTATTTAATGAAATTTTATAACGGCAGTTAAATGATGGGATCAAGTCTAGACTTTTTAGCAAATCATGATGATCATCTTATAATTTTAAAACTGCATAAATGAAAAATGTTATTTACGACAAATCATATGAACCAAAATTATAGTTTAGTCTTAATGTTATAACAATAAGATGAAAGATGATGTGAGAATGAGAGTTAAGGTGAGAAACGTAAGAAGAGATTTAGATCATTTATCACATTTAATCTTCACTTATGAATTGTGCTTGATACGAGGACTGATATGGTATATCTCATATTAATAAATGTGCATTCAATTTCTTTTTATATTTTTCATCTTAACTCTCACTCTTATCATAAATCAATCCATAACGATAATTTTAAGATATGAGTTTGAAGATGGTGTGTCTGGAAGAGCAAGACTCCTGCATCTTGTTTTTTGTTGACCTTTTTATCCCTGAAAACATGCATGAAAGTTGGGGAGAGGTTGAATAGGGTCTACTTTTTATTCAATTTATTCATGGACTTATACCCACTCTTTTCTATTATTATTTATTATTTATTATTTATTATTATGAAAATAGGATGAAGTAGTTGTAAGGTTAATTTCGTCATTCCCTATTTCCTCCCTTATATTTATATTTTCAATTTTACATTTTCCATATAATAATTATGTAATATATTTTCTTTTTCAATATACATATATATATATATTATATATATATATATATATTTGCATGTTTGTGTTTTATTATTTTATACATTTAAACCAATTTTTTTTTCCAAATAAAGCTAACATAGAAAGTAATGACATGAAAAACTTGAATTTAATTTTTTTACTAAATAATAGTAATGCTATTATTTAATATATTAGTATTATCATAAATAATAATAAAAATAAAAATAGGGGTTTTCTAACCCTACCCCTCCAATTTCCTTTCTCCTACATTTTCTATACCCCACCTATATAATACAATAAAATAAAATTTATTTATTTTACTTTTCAATTTTAACCCTTTAATATTTTTAGTTTTCACCCTTCAACTTTTAAAATACTTTTCTATTATACCCTCTAGGTTTTTTATCTATACTATAATTACATATAATAATTAACTATATATTATTATTAATTAAGTATT